AAAAATGGAGATCGTGACACTGGGTGATAATGGCTACTGCTGCCATAACTTGCCTCTAGCATCCTGACCCTTCAGGTGGGCGGTGGTGACAACGGTGTTGGAAGCCGAAGACCGCCCACATTGGGCATGAGGGATATAGCAGACGGAGGACTGGAAGGAGGCGGCCATACGCAGTGCTGACATGCTACACGGCTGTGGTGCACGACCGGGCATGTGGCGAAGCGATGCAGGTTGGTGGTAGCTAGAGACCGAGGTGAGGATAAGGACATCAACTCAAAGTCAGTGAAAATGATGAACACGAACATCCACAACTATAATCTACGGAAACAACTAGCAAACGAACAAATGGGAATGAAGAAAGTGCCAACCACAGAGCCGATTGATACAGCAGATCAGTCAACGTCCTAGCCAGCAAATAAAACATCCTAACATCCCGCAAAGTTGACGGTTACGTAGCAGACATCTTCTTCAAGGGTAGCACGGGGTTTGACAACGCAAAACCTCTGCTAACTGAACAGGGGTGTGTCAGCAATGGCAACGACAAATCACAAAAGTTGTGGTGAATCATGTTAATTCTGGTTTGTGGAAAGTAGATGCTGCACTGTGACATAACTTTTGAAGTCTTTGCATGTCAATCATCTTCCCCATGAATCGCATAAACAATTTGATCTAAGATGCGCGAAGAAAAGATAAAGACCTCAAACAAAGTCCTGCATTCAACAACACCTCTTTTAGATAGGAGGAGTTGAAAGTGCACCACAGCACAAAGAGTAGAAACAATAATTAGCGTCAGTTAAGCCAACAATGATCATAGCGAGGGAGGAAGTGTCAGTGAAACGAAAACATCGCGATTCTCAACTGCTTCATCCAACCTTAGAGCAAGGAATAGGTGTTGTGAGGCCACTATAAACAACAGACCAAGGGTTGAGGTGAAGGAGGCGGTAAGAAGACACCTGCACTCATTCTGCTCAACTTTAACAGTGCCCTGCAGTGCTACACACCCCTCAATACAAATGCCATCATTCAACCGCACTGATCAGTCGTTGCATAGAAGAGAAGCCGAGAAACGGTAGGTGGGAGAGGCCCACCTCGCAAAATGTCAGGACAAACTGGGAAACCCAACTAGTAATTCCAAGGCTGCCCAGCCAAAAGGAAAACAATTGGCACACACTAACTGAGCCTCTCTACTCGCAGAGCGTTTGCCAAATAAACTAACCACTTCCGCGGTGCTTTAGTAGAGAGAAAGGAAATTTCCGAACCACCACGAAGCCAAGAGGTGAGGGCAAATGTGGTGGAGGGAAGGCGGACTAACCCCGCAAGGGCAGCGGAAGAGGCAGTGGCAGCATTGATCGCCGCAGCGGTGTAGCCCGAGGCAGTGGAGTGCGAGGGCATGCGTGGACGTAGACGCGCTTCTGGCTGCAGCTCACAGGGCTCCGGATAGGGTGGTAATCGCGGGTTTGTTGTGTTGTAAGCCGCATTCGGTGAGCATGTGCATCGCTCTATGGGGTGGGGGGAAGCAAGGAGGTCAAAGTAAAGCCCATTCCAACATCACTAGATGGATGAATCAGCAACCTAGCAAAATGGCGTTTGGCCGAGACTAGGTGGTCATAAAACAATCGTCAGTGCCTATACAAATCGATTCTACCTGCCTTGCATTAAAATGCATTAAACCTACAAAGTGACTTGAATACCCCAAAATGGTCTCAGCCTTGCTGAGGTAGGGATTGAAAATGGATCAAGTCACAACGGACATTTAACTTTTCGAGGCTCCATTTAACCACAGTTCAGTCCTCTGCATAGCGCGACTTTGAAAGTGCAGAATCTGTCAAATTTTGCACCGTAGAATCACACTAAATCCGTCACTTGCACTTTAAGCTGGTGGGAGTGACATAAATAACATAAAGGAAAACCACCCCAGTTTGTACGATGACACGGAGAGGAAGGGTCAATGAATGGTGAAATTCGCACAAGAAGGCACCGTCCCTCCACCGCCATCGTCCAATCCGAGCATTTCATGGTGCCAACCGGGGCGTGACAATTGAGCCACTCTCTCTTCCGCCAACTCTGTGATGCCAGAGTTCTGAGTTGGGGCAAGTGAGTGCAATACGTGACTTCAGTATAACTGATCAGTACACACCTTCATGATCTGGTGGATCTAGCATCCCACAAGGACAGCGTTTGAAGCCACAAGATGCACATACAATCCGAGTGGAGGAGAGCGTAGAACACCAATGACCACGTGTTTATGCATTTTTGGAAGAATTCGTGAGACATTGTGCCAGCACACACATGAACATGGGCACGCGCTCTCACACTTCAGGTCTTCTTCCTTGCATAATCACAGGGAACCAATACACACAGGCCTCCACAATGATGGTGTCGACAAATGTTCAACTGTCAGCG